GACAGAATGCCAGCTGATGTAGCACTAGCCGAGTGTGTTGACTTTTCCTGACTAGGCCTGAGTGGGGCCTTAATGCTAGGGCCCATTCAGTTACAACAAAAACGTAATTTAATTCACTGCAAATGCTGAATAGTTGATTTTGAATTTGATATTTTTGATGGTTCTACTGTTTAAATAGGCGCTAAAAGGTTATGCAGCCAACTACTTCACAAGAGCAGCTTTAACCTACTCTCGTACAAGTGGTGAGAGAAGCAGAGCCAGAATGCTATGCAAACACTAACAACGTGCAGAATTGTGCATATGGAACAATAACAATATTTTCTATTTCATTGTGTAAGTATATGTACTGGAATTGCTGTTGTGCCCACTACCAGCTACAGTGGAGTCCAAAAATATTTAGTACTGTACATCATGACTTTCATAAGCACTAGGCTGGAGCTGAACCTTGTACTAATTTCAGGGCTATGGCAAACCTGTCCAGATGGCTCATTTTACACAGGATGAGATAATGACCGTCTATTGGAAAGCAATGGGCGAGCCTCTGTTGCTATTTGCCATATTTGCAACTTCAGTGAGGCAACAGTAAAAATAACACAATCAAGCAATTGTTGACTCTGTTATCCTTGTTTGTTGGTCTCTCATATCATGTCCTCTCACCTGCTGTATGAGGCATGGAAATCTATGACACACTAAACAGGACAAGGAGGGAGCCATATTCTGCTTTGAAAACAGGAACAGTTTGAAAAATCCAAGTATAATTTCTTTTTTAAATTTTTTACACCTCAGTATCAGATTTGTGAATAATGATACTACAATGATGAGATACACAACTGATTTTTGAGTTGTCATGCTTGATATTTCAGATAGCTACTTTTTGTACATTTGGAATGTAGATGCTATTGAACACTGGATTATTTGGATACTCCTTTTGATTCTGATTTTTTTTTTGGCTGAATATCATCTGTTACATTAATACATGCAAAGATTTGATTTTTCTACTTTATTTGGAATATGCTTTTTGTATAAACTTCTGTATTTTATAGTGCATTTTTAGAGAATGAAAGATGCTGGTTTGCAAAAAGATCCACTAATTTGGGAGCACTGTTCTGGGGGAAAAACAAGTTGCCCGTTGCCTTTATGTTTTTGGAGATGCGTCAGATTTATCCTATCTTTTTTCAAAAGAGGAGATAAAGTAGGTAACAATAAGTGTATATTTGCTTCCCCCTATTATGCAACATTAAGGGATAACATAACTTTCCTCAAAATCTTTTTTGAAAACTGTGGTTAACAGTGAGCATTGAGTTACAGATTGTCCTGATATTGCCAATGCCATGTCCCCTTCACATCCTCCTATCTTTTTTTTATAATGAGTTCAACTTCTGCTATCTTTATTTCAGAAATACTGTTACGTGATGATACTACACAATGAAGGATAGTTTTCTGTAAGTGCAGTTAACAAATGTCTATTCTTGTATTTGAAAGTTTTCTAGCTGTCATACCAGATCTGACTGAATTTGTATTGAGAGAGAGAGAGAGAGAGACAAGGTATGTGAGGTTGGTGGAATCTTTCAGGCTTCACTGAACTCTTCCTCAGGTCTGGATAAAGTAACCAGACAGTCTGCACTAAATACAAGGTGGGACAGATGATTACGCAGAAGGGTTCCACACATGCTGTAGGTGGGTCACTAAAATGAAGTGGGAATTAATTAGTGGTTAGCAGGCAGTACGGTATGTTGCAAATTGTTGTAATGAGTCATAAACCAGTGTCTCTGTTTAAGTCCATGACTTTTGGAGCCTAGCAGAGTTATGAATTTAAATCCCCAGGCTTGTCTTTTGAAGGTGTTGTGCAAGTTTCCTTTGAGGACAAGGACTGAGAGGTGAGATATTGAGCGATCACTTTGTGAAAAGTGTTTATCCATGAGTGATATGTTTTTGTCTTTTCATTTTTCTGTGTGAATTCATTTGAGAGCCAGAAAGGACCATTGTAACCATCTATTCTGACCTCCTGTATAACACTGGCCATAGAAATTCCCTAAAATAATTCTTAAAACTTTTTTTTTAGAAAAACAAGTTTAATTTCTTGCTGGAGAGTGTGTCTATTTGAAATAAAGGGAATACTCTCCAGAGATGGCCAAGGAGACGTTGCACTCTGTGGATAGTTTGTTGTATAAGCCCGGCTATTCACTTTGGCAGATGGATTTTTACTAGGCTTATTTTAATTTTAGGTTATCATTTCCTCTTTAAAAAAACCCCACAGGCCTGCAGCCCAGTTCGATCTTAGTGTAAGTGGGTGCAAATCCACTAAAATCCATTGAGTTGCACCTGTTTTGTATTTGGTAACTTCTGACTTTGTGAATAAGGTTAGGTGCAGTACTATGCACGGGCTGATGCCATCTGGTCATTTCTGAAATACCCCTAGTGCACAGTCACAAATAGCTCTGCTGCTCCACTCCCAGTAGTGTTAATTGCCAAATCTTTATTTTTCTACATCTGGTGTAGACTGCTTTTTGCTTGCCAATTGGGGGCTGTACGCTAGAACAGACTTAACTACTGAAAAGCGTCCCCCATCTGGTGGATGAACTCACAGAATCGTTATGGTCTGTAGGCAACTGAAACACCCTCTGGTGAGGTCAGTGGAAGTACTACAACTAAGCTTACCAGAGCTTTAAGCCACTCTTTGTATTCCATATGAGGGAGATTTTGGGAGAACAGAAGGGGGAAAAGAGGTCGTCAAGTTCAGCCTCCTGCACAACTTAAAGACATTGTAACTTAGCATTTGGCTGTTAGGTTTTGTAGGTTTTTCTATTATAAACATTTCAACATTTATTTTGTGCTAGCACCTAAAGCCCTCAACCAGGCTGGGGACTCATTGTGTTTGTCACTGTATAAATATATAGTAAATGACAGTCCCTGCCTGAAAGCACTTATCTTCATAAAACTTAGTCATATGGAAAAAGACAAACAAAAGTTCATTGTAGTAAAAATAGACCAAAAGGTACATGATTTTGTATATTCTTGTTTTTATTTTAAATGCTACAGTAATGAAGAACATTTCCAATATTGTCCTTGTCTTTTTAAGATAAAATATTTACAAATTCATGTTCATCACTGTGTTGTACACAATGGCCACTGAATTTCTGTTGACAGAGATGCCCTTTCTATCCTGATCAGATAACAAAATCATTCAGACTTAACAAAAAAAAGTACATTCAAGAGCTCCCACTTCATTTCATGACCCTTTGTCAGCAATAAGTATCTCCAGTCAGCCCTATGGTTCTTTCAAAGTAAAGAATCCTCTTGCTAGTTTGTTGTGACTGGGGATGAAAATATTATGTAGGTAACTGTAGATGACAGGAAAGGGCAAATAAGTCAATGAACATTGTATTTCAGGTAGATTGTGCAGCTTGTTTTGCAGGTCAGTCATGTCTGGGTTTATTTGGAATTGGGGTCTAGTTTTAGCCTGAGCACCGCCACTCCTGAATGTTCCTCCGTACCCTTAGATTGGTGCACCCCGCTTTTTTCACAAAACTTGGCATTTGTCACATTTGCTGATGATCAGTTGGCAAGAGCAAATGGGCAAGTTGGGATGTCAGGGACAGGTCTTAAAAAGGGGACTGTCCCAGCCAAAATGAGATGTATGGTCACCCTATGTCCTGAACAAATGAGCCAGTAACCAAACTCAAAGCCCCCTTCCTTAAACCTTCAAGCTAATGTAGACTTCCCAACATGACCTGTTTCTCTATTTGTGTCCTTTAGACTTTGGAGAAAGGACTTGTTCCTTGAACAGTGTCAAGCACATTGCTGGGGCTTCCGAAATGTTATCATGGACTTTTTAAGCCTGATGTAAAGAACCAAAGTATTGTAAAGAATAAGGTTGGGTTTAAGGAGTACAATGTCCATACAATTTAAAAAAGTGCATAAACTAAACATGAATTTTAACTTTGTGCTTATAAAACCCAACACACATTTCCAAGCTCACTCTCCCCCTTTATTGAAGACCAGACAGAATGTCCCTGGCTTCAGATGGGAGGCACTATATTACTACATGTTTCCAGTTGTAATTTTTCCCACATGAATCCTCCTGACACAACTAGTGAGAATAAGAACATTAGAGGATGCTACTTACACAATAAAAGTATTGACCAAATTCAGCCTGAAATAAGTGAGCACAACTTTGCTGAAGTCAATGGAGTTGAGCCACCTTCCACCAGAGTTAAACTGACCCAGTACCTATATCATGATAATAATGCAGGCTGCTTGTTCTAATGGCTTGCTCTCCCTGATTACGGTTCACTCACTTCTTCAGCCTGCCAGTTTTCTGCCTGCTGGATCTCCCCTTCCCTGGCTTTCCCTTCTGGCTGTATGTTAGTTCCTTTCCAGAGTGATCAAATTTTGATCACAGGTTGGTTGGGTATTTGGAGATCTTTAAAATAGCTGTGCCCAGAATCATGCTCAAGGTCCTAATAATCAGGGAATGTGTCCTTCCTTATGCATTTTCTCAGTTTCTCTCCTGTTTTCCCTCCAAGAGCCCACACTATTTCCCTTCTCATGTCCCCAGGGTAGGGCACCTTTCCCTTCCCTGCTCACAAGAATCCATCTCCAGCATAGAGTCACTTGAGAGCCATTTGGTCCAAATGCTAGAAAAGAAGGTAGCAGAGCTCAACATTGGTTTTCCAGGCAATGGGCAGAGTACTCCAAACCTGTAAAGCTGAAGACTGGGAAAATGAAATGTTCAGTGGGGCCATATTTATTTATTCATTGGTGAGGTTCTGGATTCTGATTTGGCTCTTCCTTTGCCTGCCCTGTTGGTTCAGTGCTCTATGGCTAGCAGTAGTGCTCAGGGCAGAAGGAAGCCATCAATAGCAGCTTATTGTTTCCATTCTGTTCCATATTCTGTGCTTGATCTGTTTCCTCAGATAGCTTGTTAAATAAATAAATGAATAAGAAACAGTTTGTTAAATCCCATAACATTTAACGAATGTACAAACTTTGTTCTCCAGGGCGCCACTATATGGATTATTTCAATATAATCCCAATATGATTGGACAGGCATCATTAGCTGATCCCTCAGATACCTGGGAAATTATAGAGACCATTGGAAAAGGCACTTATGGTAAAGTCTATAAGGTTGCCAATAAGAAAGATGGGAGTCTGGCTGCAGTAAAAATTCTGGATCCTATCAGTGTAAGTAAAAGATTATAATCCTATTTTAATAATATCTTCATTGTTACAATTAAAAGGTTTTACTCTCAAACAGGCTTGAAGCTCTGACTCAAAGTTTAGGCAAACTGAAAATATCCTGGAGGGAACTGTTAAATATATTATGAGCAGGGGTGGGCTACTTGGTTTGGAAAGAGAAAAAAAAAACTGATTAAACCCTGCATCCAGCCTCATACTGACCCCTTTGTAAGGCTCTTTTGTATAATTTAGGACACAGTCCTACAAGGTGCTCTGGAGAGCAGACTGAATTATCTGTTTAGAATAATTAATTTTGCCTTTTTTCTATGACTTGACAAAATTGTATGGTTAGTCATTATTCACAAATATTCATCAGTAGTTTGGCTGAAACTTGTTTGCATAAATGAGATGTTAGAAAACTGTTCACTCAAACTATTCTCACTGAGTGACTGGTCATTTAAGACACATGGTATCATTTCTGCTCCCTTATTGGATGACTGAAATTTTTCAAACAGCAGAAGAGCAAATTGCAAATGACACACAGCAGATGGTAAATAAGTAGGGAATATACTTGTTCACATACAAATGTGTGTGTTCGTATGATGAACAGCCAACCCCTAAACATCACAAGAATGAGGGGCATGAATCTGGTTGACCCAAACAGCCACTTGGAAATTGCACCCTGTTTTGTGGTTTTCAGCCAACTCTAGTTCTGAACACTTTCAACTCACAAAGACTTCTGACATCAGTGGGAGTGAAAGTTGCTTAGCACTTGGTAAGATCTGCCCCTTTCATAGCCTTATGTGTTATTCAAAATCAGCATTCATGCTGACCTTGATTTCTGGCAGTGCACCTAGGCAGTTCGCTGGTACAGATTTTAGGTATCCAAGGTTGCAGCAGTTGGAGCAGGAATATGATCAGATTGCATGGTGGCATTTCCAGTACACTAATGGTAATATCTTACATTCTTATAGTGCTGTTCATCATAAAGGATCCATATCACTGTCAAATCTATACAAACTCTGCAATGGAATTCCTTCACCCACCACCAAAGTGCTGCCAGCTGTAGAATAGAAAGCAGCAGCTTTTTAACAGTGCACAGAGACAGTGCACAATAGTTAAGACAGGAATTGAAGAAGAATATTGTCAGGGACTCAGCTGGCTGCAGTCGCCTAGCAACCCAATGAGTTCAGCAGGGCCCAGTAAACCCTCATTAAGTGACTGTTCTCCCTGACTGGATGGAAGAGCCAACTGATCCCTATTTAAACCTGGTTGCATTAGCAGCACCTGAAGCTGCGTCAGACCTGCTTCCTGTCCTGCCCTTGCCTCCTTACCTGCTCTTCTCTAGCCCTGCCTACCTCTGAACCCCCTAACTCCTGGCTCTAACCACCAGCTTATCTCCTGACCACAGCTCCAGCTCTGCCCTTTGCTTCTGTTTTGATCTCTGGCTCCAACCATTGGCTTGTCTCCAGTTCTACCCTCTGATTCTGCTCCAGCCACTAAGCCAGACCCCTGCTCTGACCACTAGGTCTCACTGCGTATACCTTGGTGTGTGACAGTTTGAGCAGCCTACTAGCTGGCATAGAGGGGCCCCAGAAGGAGGCCAACCCACCTTCTCAGAGGTTGTTGGGGTCCTACAGGAACTTCAGGTTCAGATCACCATGCTGTGTGACCACAGTGCGTCCCTCCAGGCCCAGGTACATGTCCAGGCAGTGTCTTCTGTACTCCCAAATCATGCACCCACTTTTTGTGAGCCTAAGCTGCCCCTACCTGATAAATTAAATAGGGATCATGCCAAGTTTTGTGGATTCCAGTTCATGTTGTGGCTACAGTCATGCTCCATGGATCAGTCCCAAGTGGGATTAGTGCTTAGTCTGCCCACTGGAGAGGCCCTGAAGTAGGCATCACCACTCCTGCAGGGGTCCAGTCCTCTCCTTGAACACTTTGAGAACTTTGTTTAGGCAACAGAGAGTATCTTTGATTATCCTAATCAAGAATATACTGAAGAAGCTGCTCTCCATGTCCTCTGGCAGTGTCTTGGTTCTATCACCAAATATGCAGAGGAATTTAAATGTCTGGCTGCAGATATCCACTGTGCAGAGACACAACTTCAAGCAGGGACTCAATGACCCAATCAAAGATGAATTAGCATGGGTGGAACTTCCACCTAGTCTGGGAGCCTTAATTGATCTTTGTTTTAGGATTGATGATCAGCTAACAGAGGGAGCCTAAGAAAAACAACAGGCCACCAGACCCCTGCTGGTCAGAATTCTTATGTCTCCTGGAGCTCCTATTGCCCTATCAGACCCCAAAATGATGCAAGTTGACTGAGCCGTACCTCTCTGCCAACAAAAAAATCCTTATCAGGCATTAGGGTTGTGCCTATATTGTGGGATGCCCAGGCATGTTGCAGCAGGGTGTCCTACCAAAGACTGGTCCACCTCCAGCTTGGGAAGCACCAAAGCCTAGTCCCAGTGTGGGGGGGGCTAGAGTTGGGTCAATGCTCCCCTCTTCCCCACAGCAAGCTGTGCAGCCAGCTATCTGCCAGAATCTTGGCAATCCCTAACCAGCACGCTTCCCTGCTCTGTCTCCCTCTTCAATTGTGGCATTCTGCCATCCCTCATGTCCACTTAGAACACTGGTTGACTTGGACATCTCTGGCAATTTCATTGACCAGGAGTTCATTAAGGGGTATGGAATCCTTTGCAAGGATTTCCCTGAGCTTGTCAAGGCTATCAATGGGTCACTTCTCTCTTCAGGCCCCATTAAGCATCAGACAGCTCTCCTGGAGGTCATTACCTTTGGTGGTCACTGAGGCATCTTGCAGTTCAGGGTCATCCGTGCTTTGTACTCACCAGGCGTCCTTGGTATCCCCTGATTTGCCATTCATGACCCCCGAATTAGATTGTGCCCATGATCTATACTGTTGTGTTCCCTGCGGTGCCAACGAACATGCCTCCGCAGCTCAAGCCAATGGCTGGTCACGTTCTGCAGTACGCTGAAGCCCCTGAAGGATCCAGAGTTAGGAACCAAAGATTTATGAGCAGTGCCTGAAATTCCTGCCAAATACCTAGAATATGTCAGAGTATTCAGCAAACAGAAGGATCATGCCCTACCTCCTCACCACAGTTATGATTACCCAATCAGTCTTCAACCGAGGTTCCTTTTGGATGCATATTTCCTTATCTGAACCTGAGCTGCAGGCCCTCCAGGAGTACCTTGAAGAAAATCTATGTAACGGGTTCATCCACCCTTTGACTTCCCCCATGGGAACATCTATCTATTTTGTGCCTAAGAAGGATGGCTCCCTCTGACCTTACGTTGCTTATCCAGCCCTAAAAAAGATAATTGTCTGTAATCAATATCCTCTTCCTCTCATAAACAAACTCCTGGAAAGAATCCATTTGGCTCAGGTCTTCATGAAGCTAGATCTGCATTGAGCATACCACCTGGTCAGAGTCCAACAGGGGGATGAATGGAAGAAAATGGTTTGAACTAGCTATGGCCATTTTGAATATTTGGTCAAACTGTTTGGTCTGCGTAATGCCCCTCCAACTTTCCAGCATTTCATGAACAATGTCTTCAGAGATATCCTCAATTTGTGATTATCTTAGATGATCTCATTTTTTCCAGAAAACCAAGAACTCCATGACGACCATGTGCCACACCATTCTTGATTGGCTTCACCAAAATCAATTTTATGTGAAACACAAGAAATGTGAATTTGACAAGGATACTGTGGAGTTTCTGGGCTGTCTCATCTCTCCAGCAGGACCCCAACAAGGTTGCAGCCATCACCAAGTGGAAGGCACCCTTGAATATGTGTGGAGTGCAATGGTTTCTTGTATTCATAAATTTGTACCAGCGATTCATCCAAGGATTCTTTGACCTGGTAGCCCCTATAATGTCCCTCCTCAAGAATAGACTTAAGTTCACTTGATCCCCTGACATGCAGGGGGCTTTCAACCACATGAAAAAGTTGTTTATTTCTGCCCCCATTTTGACCCATCCAGACCCTACAAAGGCCTTCATAGTTGAGACTAATGCCTTGGACTTTGCAATAGGTATGGTCCTCTCACCAGTTGCTTCATTCCTGTGCTGCCTTCTCTTGGAAAATGACTCCTGGTGAGAGATGTATGGGACAAGGAGCTCCTGGTCATCAGTGCTGCCTTTGAGGAGTGGTACCACCTCCTTGAGGGGGCCTATGCCCCTGTCCAAGTCTGGATAGATCAGATTTTGGAGCATCTACAGACAACACAATGACTCAACCAATGTCAGTTTCGCTGGGTCCTTTTCCTCTCCCAGTTTGACTTTATGGGTACCTAGTATCCATGGTCTAAGAATGAGAAGGCAAATGCCTTGTCCTGCAAGGACGAGTACTGTGAGGTGGAGCAGAAAGCCCTCACACTCTCCTTAAACCCTCCCAATTTGTCTGTGGGGCCCTCACTAGTCACATGATGACCACTTTCCAGCTCCCAACTTCAGGTGCTAAGGTTGTGCCATGATTCACCCATGGCAGGACATTGTGCCCAATTAAAAACCTGGTACCTGATTACCAGTTACTTCTGGTGGCTGACCCTATGAACAGATGTTAAAAACTATGTGAAGTCCTGTGACCTCTGTGCCTGTATGAAGAACCTGTGAGACAACTATATGGGCCTCTTTCAGCCTGTAGCTAGGCGATTACTCACTGGTGCGGTGCCTCCTGCTGGTTGTCTCGGGAATTAGCTCTTCCAGCATGGAGCGCCCTCTGCAGGTCAGTGTCTTGCCTGCCGCTGGCCCCCATGTCCCTTCCGGACCCTGGTGCCCCTTTACATCAGGGTTCTGCCCCCAGCAGTAACCCACAATCTGGGTCTCCCCACCCAGGGGAACCCCCAACTCTCTATCCCCCCTTGCCTCAGTGGCTACTGCCAGTCATGATCTAGCCCCCGCTCACTGGGGCAGACTGCAGTCTGTAAACCACTTATCATCAGCAAGGAGGGTTTTGGACCTGCTGCCTTTGCCTAACCCTGGGCTGCCCCTCTGCAACCCCAGTACCTGCTTTGGGCCTTCAGCCTGGGGGTTCTCCAGGCTGGAGCTCCCCAGCTCCTCTGGCCTTTCCCCAGCCCTGCTCCATTCAGGTACCCTTCTCAACTCCCAGGCAGCCAGGTCCTTCTCTCTCTACAGCTAGAGAGAGAAAGTCTTTTTGAGCTCCTGGCTCACAGCCCTTTTATAGGGCCAGCTGTGGCCTGATTAAGGCGTGGCCCCAGCTGTGGCTCCTTCCCCAATCAGCCTAGCCCATTGGCTCCCCTGGGCAGCCCTTTCCTAGGGCTATTTTAGCTCTTTCAGGGCCAGAGCGGGTGACTACCCCGCTACACAGCCCCTCCCCAAACCTCCATTTCCTTGGTCCACCCTCTCAATGGACTTTATAGTGGAGTTCCTGCACCTCCAACAGCACTCAGTTATCCTGACTCAAGTGGACTTCCTGTCCAAGATGGCCCATTTTATACCCTGCTGCTCTATGTCATCTGCCCATGAAACAGCACAAGCTTTCCTGGAGCACAACTTTCATGTGCACGTACCATGGCATACTGACATGCACCATTTTGGACTGAGAGCCTTTATTTATTTCTTGATTCTGGCAGGAATTTCTTCACTTTCTCAGCACTAAATTCCTCACCTTAACAGCCTCCCATCTGCAGACTGATGATCAAACTGAAAGAGGCAGTCAGACCCTGAAGCAGTATCTCTTCTGTTTTCTGAATTTCTGTCAGGATGATTGGCTCCCAGTACTGTTTGGCTGAGTTTGTATACAACAGTTCAACCCACACTTACACCCAACACACTCTATTCTTTGCAAATTTTGGTTTTCACCTCTGATTCCATCCAAACCTGCCCGAAGGCTCTGCTGTACTGGGGGACATGGATATGGTCCAGAAAACATGCCAGAAACTCAAGGAACACTTACTTGCCAGTAAAGAAACTTATAAGCATTACATGGTCTGAAAGCGATAGGCTGCCCCTAACCTTGCAGTAGGGGCTAAGGTCAGGCTCTTAACTGGGAATCTGAGAACAGGCCATCTTTCGGTCAAGGTTGACCATCAATACCTGGTCAAGTATTAGACCAGTAATAATAATAAACCAGTGGCCTTTAAGCTTCAACTGCCAGAATCCCTCAAGATTCACCTGTCTTTCATGTTTCTCTCCTTAAGCCGTTTGTTGACAATTTTTTCCCCAACTGGGTAGATCCTCCTCCACCCTCTGTCCATCGGCAGGAGGCATATGAAATCCAACAGGTCTTCGTCTCCCAATAAGTCAGGGGGAAGCTCCAGTATCTGACAGACTGGAAGGGGTATGGGCCAGAGGAGTGATTCTGGGAACCAGAAGAAAACGTTCGCATTCTTGATCTACTGAGGGAATTTCACTGAAGATACCCTGACAAGCAAGGGCCATGAGCCCCTAGGAGGAGCCCACAAGGGGGGAATACTGTCAGAAACTCAGTTGGCGCTGGGCATGGTCACCTAACAATGCAATGATCTTGAATGGACTCAGTAAACCCTCACAAAGTGATTGTGCTCCCTGATTGGACAGAAGGGTCAACAGATCCCTATTTAAGCCTGGTAGCAACAGGAGCAGAGTGGCTGCTCAATGTGTTCCATGCCCATAGCTGCATCAGACCTGCTCCTGTTCAGCCCTTGCTCCACTCCTTGCCTGCTCCATTCCATCCCTAATCTCTGCATACCTCCAACCCCCTAATTCATAGCTACTGGCTCTGACCACTGGCTTGTCTCCTAACCATGACATCAGCTCTGCCCTGGGGCTCTATTCTGACCCCTGGTGCTGACCATTCACTTGCCTCCTGACCATGCCTCCAGTTCTGCCCTCTGATTCTGCTCTGATCACGAGGCCAGACTCCTGTTCTGACCAGTAGGTTGTACCACCTACACCTCAATGTGTGACAAATATTGTGTCCAATAGAAACCACAGTATTTCAGTGTGTAATTATCCACATTGGAATTTGACTGGGACATTCAGACTAAAACCCTTACTGAGAAAAGTTGCCCCTTTTTTATTTACAGAAATACAACTTGTTCATCCCTTGTACAATATGAGTCAGAGGAATGTACTAAGTAATATGTGATTAACGGAATAAAGTACCAGGGTCTTGATACAGCAAACTATCCCAATTCAGCAAATTATTTAAGCACATGCTTAACTTTGAAGCATGTGCTCAAGTCCTGTTAAAGTCAAAGTCTGTGCTGAATAGGAATACACTTAAGCATGTGCTTTGCTGAACTGGGGCTCATGTGGGTTATTGTGCAATATAGTTGGTACTTTGTTATTTCATCTTCACAAAAATCCCTCTTTAGGCAAATTTTTGCTTATCTTGTAGATTTTGATTTTCGCTCTGTTTAATAGTTCCTGTTGTGTCTGTTTTCCACTGTGGGCTTTATTTCTCCTTTTTTAAAGATGTAGTTATTTTTATTCATGTCCCATTTAATGTCTTTTAAAACTGCTATATAACTAGATTACCTTAAAAAGAAAAAAATGAAGCTAAGATACATGTGTTTACAGTAGTTCAACCATCAGAAATGCAGATTTAATGAACAGATTAGAAAAGATATATATGCAAATTTTCCATTTAGACAAGTGAGCAGAGCGAAGCATCATTTTTGCTTTTGTGGTAGCAGTGTGTTATGCATTAAGAGTACCCTTGAGGCAAAACTACTGACTCCACATGGAGTTCACACTTTTATTTGCAATAAGACAATTGTGGTGTGACTGGTTTTTGACCAGATTTTATTATTTGATCAGATTGTTTTCAGTGCATCACAATAAAGACATTTCAAAGCATAAAATAATATATAGATACTCCTTTTTATCCATGAAGATTCACTTGTTTGTTGTACTGAATTATTATTTATTTATACACCATATTTGTTTGTGTTTTTCATTTAGGATGTGGATGAGGAAATTGAAGCAGAATATAATATTTTACAGTTTCTTCCCAATCATCCCAATGTTGTTAAGTTTTATGGAATGTTTTACAAAGCAGATCAATACGTGGGAGGTCAGCTCTGGCTGGTTCTTGAGGTAAGATATTTTGATAATGTTAGAATGTAATTAAAATGGATTTTCAGGGCGAGGTGCTCCCCTTTAGAAGTGAACAAAACAGAAACAACAAATGATGGGTCTCTATGCTCTGTACTGAGAGACAAACCTTAGAATTTTTTTCTGTGTTTAGAGATATTGATCAAACAGTCTGGCCGTGGGAGGTGTTTGCAGATTCACCCTTCAAAAAAACACACTCAGTGTTTATTCAGTGACAAGCCCCAGACATGGGGGCTTGGTATCAGCACTTTATTGCCATTCAAGGTACTTTGTTCTGTCTTCAGAAACATAGAATGAGCTCCACAGTAGTTTTCTTACTTGAAAGTAAACTGGCCTTCCATGCTGGAGAAAACATCTGTGTTAGTGTTGAGAAGTCAAGGTCTCATTTTGGATAATCCAAAAGATGACTTCAGGATGAAGTACCACACACAGTATTTACCAAACCTGGGACCCATTGCAAATGTGGGCTGAGAGAATGTAAGGGGAAAACTGTCTTATGGCAGTGTAAAATTAATAGCAGGATGCTGTTGAATATCTAGCACTTTAAATGGCTTATGTAGACTTTGCCCCTTTAGCAGGCTTTCAGTGTTCTCAAAATGAGGGATGTCATTCTGGCTCACGTGTTCTGTCATTCACTGCAGTTAATGTCATTGTCTGACTGCAGTAGGTCCAAGATTTCACTCAGATGATTAGGATGTTCCTAAAGGATTAATTGTGTATTGAGCCCAGCACAGAGATTAGAGTGATCTTATAGGGGGTGTGGCACCATAGCAGTATTTTTCTATAACATAGTTACATCAATATAAATGTGAGTACTAACTTGTTTGTTACTGATCATTTTAGAAGGACCATCCAGCTATTCTGGGATTGTGGGTGGAATCAGAGTAAAGTACTATCACTTTATGCTCTACTTTATCCCTGTCCCAGTAATACAATAAACCTGACTTTTATGCATTGCAGCATTATACAGTATGGAGGACAGGATTTGGTACCATATGCCAATTTTCATAATAAGTTTCAATGGCTATCAAAATGATTAGCAGGTTTTTTTGCTGTATGGGTTCTTAATGACTAATAGAAAAACAGCTAATGCTCTTATCCCAAAGTATATCAGACATGCTGTTCTGTATAATACAGTCATGAATGTCAGAAGAACATACCATTTCCTCAAGCTAGCTTTTTGCATTAATGATGTATAGCTTGTTGTTTTTGGTGCACCTAATTTAAAATCTGTAAAGAAATTTAAGACAAAACTTCTCATTTTCCTTAGATATGACAAGTTTATTGAAACAGTTGACCGTGGAAATATTCCTTGCCTTAGAATTGCACACAGATTTGTCTGTGCACAGCAATTACATTTTATAATAGTGTAATAATTTTTTTCAATAAAAGGGTATATACAAAGCTCTCAGTTACTGTGATCACTGTTTCTTTGATGAAATCATATCATCATTGTGATGAGCATCTTTAAAATTTTCTAATTAAAATTTTTTTTCTTGCACTATTCTGCAACATTTACTTACTATGAGCTATCCCTTAGTCAGGTGAGTAGTTCCATTAAAGTCCATGGTAAGGTACTATTCAAAGTGAGTAAGGGAAATAGAAGTGGGCCCTTAATTTAATTTTATATGATGGTGGAAGGTGCATTGAGAACTAACATTTTATATTTATTCATAGAAAAGATATATCACACAGCTGTGTAATGAGGGCTTAACCACTCTTCCCTAAAAACATGCATTAATTCTCTTATGTAAGGACCACCTCTAGGGGCAGGGGGCTAGTTCAGTGTCCATGATCATTTCATTCCAGAGCTCTCTATTGACTACCAACACAGGTGTCACTGTCAAAATTGGTGGTGGTCTTTATGTTGTGGGTACTTAGCTATTTGGAGAGAAGGTGATTGATTTCATATATGCTACTGAACAGCCATAAGACTGTATCACTTTCAATCAACTTGGGTTGGGTTTGAAGTGGTGGCCTAGAGCTGAATGGCTTCATAGCTCATTACCATAGCTCATTACTTGGGATTACTTTTCTGTTTGGCTTCAGCTTTTAGTGAAAAAAGAATGCAAATAAAATTAGCACAACACATCTCAATAGTACACAGAGAGTACAATAAAGATAATAAAGACTATACATGGCATTGATTGCTCCCCAGGCAAATAACTAAACATGGGTAAGTAAGCACACACACTCCCTTCCACCTAAGGTTTTAGTTCATCTTCAGATGTATTTGGTGTATGATAGTGGCTTAAGGACTCTCCCAACTGGATGGAACAAGCTACCAAGTAAAAAAGGAAAGGCAAACTCTTGCATCAGCCACTGATGGAATATTATTTCAGTAGCTTATTTGCATAAAGGAAGCCAGTATATCACGTGTTCTGGATCCTAAGTAGCTAGCATAATGCACTTTTCATGTGCAGAAAAGTTCAGAATTCTAATAGTTTTTTTAGTCCTACAGTAATGGTGACAATGTATGGTGAAAAATATCCACACCTCCCATAGCACATAGCAAATTAACGTGCAGAGAGACTGATACTAGATTGACAAAATTTAGAGATGAAAGGAAAAACAAAAGAGAAGTAGATCACCAGATTTCAAAGGAGGATTTTAGTATTTGGTTTCATGCCATTTGTTTGATTTTATGCATTAGAGTTTTAGGCTGAATATTGGCAATGCAAAGGGAATTTAGATCTGAGTTCAAATATCCTGTTGATATAGACATATGATTTTTATGTGACAGAAAGCTTGGTATGGTATAGAAGGGACCGCTCTGCAAAAATAAGAGGTGACTCCAGAAGAACAAATATAATGACCCCCTTCCTCCCAAAAAACCCCCCTTCCAAACAACGCTCCTTTTAATTTGAAGTGTCATACAGTTGTTGTAAATATAAAAGTAAGAAAAGGAGAAAGTGGGAGAGAGCAGGAGGATGAGAGGGAAACAGTTGCTAGAAGGGCATGGATGATGAACTAATGATGTGGGTGAAAACACATTTACAAAGGTTCTAATTTTACTTTTTCTCCTCCTCCTCCTTTGATGTATGGCAGCCCATTAATGGAAAGTGCTTGCAAGAAGCTGTGCTTTTCTGGATCAGAATGTTTAATCTCAGTTGTTGGCAGAGCACGCCATCAAGTCTGAGTATAGAGATATGGCTGCTGTCTATTTTATATTGCCTGCCAGCAGGAGCATTGATGGAGTGAAGGTTTGAAATGACTGTAATTTGTTGCCTCCCAGTTATCAAGTGCATCAATCTTGTCTTTTCTGGCCTTTTCTTCACACAAAGGCAGTTTTTCAAAAAGACAACGCACGTATTATTGTAAAAATACTCAAATAAATTAAACCGGATCTATAGATTCTGTTTTTATAATAAAATATAGTTTTTCTGTTTTAATATTTCACTTTTAGTTAAATTTTACAATCTCTGACTTCTGCTTTTCACCCTCCCCCCGAAGTACTGTGATTTATTGTCAACATTGTTAATAAAATATGCTCTATGACAAGAATGACAACTTAAATAATTGTAGGCGGAAATCTACTTGGTTTGGGATTTGTGTTATGTTTCAGACTCCTATAGTAGGAATTCACAACCTAAGCAAGTCTGTTGAGTAATAGAGGTCTTGTGTTTTGTTTCTTTTTTTCCTTCCCCATTCTCTTCACAGCTGTGTAATGGAGGTTCTGTCACAGATCTTGTCAAAGGCCTGCTGAAGCGTGGCCAACGGTTGGATGAAGCTATAATCTCATACATCTTATATGGTGCTCTCTTGGTAAGGATGTTCATCGGGCTTGTAATGACAGTAGAGGGTGCAATTTACCCATCTCATACATTTTCCATTTATAAACTATGGTAATAATGACAATATTATGCTGGCTGTTATAGCAGCAGGGGGGCATATCAAGCATGTGATCAAGTGGACAGATGTTTCTATAGTGAGGAGCAGATTGTCTTCATTACACTCCCTAATAGTAGGGTAATTGTTTTTAAATAAGTGAGTAAACTTATTTTTTGTCGTCATGGGCATACAGGGCCTTCAACATTTACACAATAACCGAATCATCCATCGTGACGTCAAAGGGAACAACATTCTTCTGACAGCAGAAGGAGGAGTCAAGCTTGTTGACTTTGGTAATGATGGCTTACTATTTGTTTTCTTGATGTGTGCAGTTTAGCCAAAGGCATCCATTTATTTTCCACTCAGAAAGTAGAGGCGTTTCTGGAACACCAATTACTGAGAAAAATTTTCCAGGAGGAATCTTGAGATATTTAGGAAGTGATGGGGAAAAGTAGCAGATAGAGCAATCTAGGAAATCCTGTCAGAAAATCTATTTTAGGCTTTTTAAAACAATAATTTTTAAAAAGCCATTTTATTTTTGAAACACTTTTGCATTCCATTAGGAATGTCATATCTCAGGGAAGTTGTCTCTCATTTAAATTTAAATATTTCATCTTTTGCATATGAAAAGGATACATTCTTCTCTTTCAAATGGCTTTCACTAGCCTTAAGCACATTTATTCCCTCTGAGCAGAAGGTAAAGTGGTCCTATGGGTCCACAAACTAACAGATCCATTTAATTTGTGATTACTGCTGTTAGATATGAGCCTGGCAGGACTGGAAACATCACAAGAGGCATAAAGAGAGAGACAGAGGAAGGGAACTTTGCAATAGAATTTAACCCCAGATGAATATTTCTATGTTGAAATACATATACGTTTAGTAAAGTAAAAGAATGCTGTAGTTCCTCTCTAGAATCAGATATGTACATATAAAGAGAAATTTTATTAACAGTAAAGGGAGCAGGAAAATAGTAATATATGAAATCATAGTGAGTCAGTATAAAGTGTTAGATAAACAGTTTTGAAAATACAGTACTGTACAGCTGTTTGCCTAACTCTGCATGTTGCTAAAGTAAAATATTCATATAACGAGAAAGTACCATAAAACTGGCATGCCAGAATTCTGGCAATAAAGGAATGGCCCAGAATTATAATATGATGTATGAAGGGGAAAACAAACGTAACTATTTTAATGTCACAATATTATAAAACTAGCATTATATTTAAAATCTGTTTGTGATTGTTTGTGGAATAAATTTAGGAAGCAGATGCCTCTTTATTAGCTGCTAGGGACAGAAATTCATTACTGTTGAGTGTAGAGACACTCAATTTTAAGTGGCGCTGGGAGAAACATATGTGGCCTAAGGCAAAACTAGTGATAGTCTAGTAATCTCTTTGGCATTTAATGGTGGGGCTAAAAATCACTTTTCATTAGAGAGACAAGGTAGGTGAGGTAATATTTTTATTGGACCAACTTCTGTCAGTGAGAGAGACAAGCTTCCATGCCACACAGGTCTGGGAAATTTATTCAGCTTGTTACAGCTAAATACAAGATGGAACAGATTGTTTAGCATAATTGTTCCATCTTGTATTTAACTGTAACAATCTGAATAAATTTCCCAGAGTTGAAGACGAGCTCTCTGTAAGCTCACAAGCTTGTCTCTCATACTGACAGAAGTTGATCCAATAAAAGATATTACCTCACCCACCTTGTCTCTTTAATGCCCTGGGACCGACACAGTTACAGCAACGCTACTTTTCATTTGAGGCGGTTTTGCCAGTATAATCTTGAGCAATAACTAGTGTAGACTGGCAGAAATCTTCCTTTTCCTTTCTAAAACAAGAACACACCACTGGACATATTGATATGAAGGAGGAAACTACAGCTTGAGGTTAGAGTTTCTTAGAATGAGCTTAGGGAAAAGTGTGTTGTTTTTCCAGTGTTTAACAAATACTGACAATGATTTCACCAAGAAGCTCTAGCACTCCCACTCTTTGGAGCAGAGACTTTTAAATTTGGCAGGGGGATCCCCTAATGTCCGGGACGTGACTCTGTCTGTCCTCTGACAATTTGCCCAAATTTGGTTGAGTTGTGACTGTCTAAAAAATTGCAATTCACACATACTCAGTAGAGATTTACTAGAGTTTGCACCTAAGTTCTCTTAAGGTTCTGAGTGAACTGAGCATGCTCCTGTGTGTGACAGGACTGTACATGTGCCATCTCCAGGGAGTGACTGAGCATGCCCCATGCCATCCCCTCACAGCCCTTGCATGTGACAGGACTATGCATGTGCAATCCTCACAAAAGGGCTGACTGAGCATGCCCTATTCTGGGGCTCCAGGGACTGGGCAACACTTTCCCTGCAGTTACTCCTCTTGGTTACCAAGGGATGTTGTGGACCCAGGCCCAGGAACTGAGAGCAGAGTTGACAGGGAAACAATCTCTCCAGTGTTCTGGATCCCCTTGCTGCAGGTAGTGTGAAGGGGAAGGAGGAAACAGTGTGACTCAAATTCAGAAGGTGAGGAAGAGATTCAGGGTGGTGGAACAGGAGTCTGGGGAGCAGCAATGGCGCTAGCCATTTTGCTGGCCAGGGTGGAAAACATTTGCAGCCCCATGCCCCTGAGTGGCTGGCTGTGGCTTGTTTTTGATCCCTTCCTGCCTGCAGCTAATCAGTAGAGTAAAAACAAACAAAAAAGCTGAGTGGCAGGGTGATTTGGTGCCCAGGGTGACACTCCAAGAACCATCCCTGCTGTGGGGGTGGCTATGAACAGGAAACTAAAAATTTGGAAAAGGGGCAAGAGCAGAGGGAGACAGAAGACCAACGGGTGCAGGAATAGGAACAAGAGGCGCAAGAGCAGAGGGACGGGGGAAAGGGGCAGGAGCCACAGATAGGGAATAGGAGCAGGGGGAGAGAACACAGGCAAGAACAGAAGGAGGAGAAAGGGCAATGGGAGGATAGGGGCAGGAACTGGTGTGGGGGGACATGGCACAGGAGTTTGTGGGTTAGTTATGGGGAAGAGGATAGGGCAGGAGCCCTGCCTCATTTGTGCACTGGATGGACCTTCTTGGGGTATGAAACAGGGCTGTGTAGTGAATGATGCTGTTGTCTGTATTACGCCTGCATCATCTGGAGCAGGTCCTCAAAGAATCAATCCTGAAGCACTTGCATGAGAGGAAAGTGATCAGGAACAGCCAGCATGGATTCACCAAGGGAAGGTCATGCCTGACTAATCTAATCGCCTTTTATGATGAGATTACTGGTTCTGTGGATGAAGGGAAAGCAGTGGATGTATTGTTTCTTGACTTTAGCAAAGCTTTTGACACGGTCTCCCACAGTATTCTTGTCAGCAAGTTAAGGAAGTATGGGCTGGATGAATGCACTACAAGGTGGGTAGAAAGCTGGCTAGATTGTCGGGCTCAACGGGTAGTGATCAATGGCTCCATATCTAGTTGGCAGCCGGTATCAAGTGGAGTACCCCAAGGGTCGGTCCTGGGGCCGGTTTTGTTCAATATCTTCATAAATGATCTGGAGGATGGTGTGGATTGCACTCTCAGCAAATTTGCGGATGATACTAAACTGGGAGGAGTGGTAGATACGCTGGAGGGGAGGGATAGGATACAGAAAGACCTAGACAAATTGGAGGATTGGGCCAAAAGAAATCTGATGAGGTTCAATAAGGATAAGGGCAGGGTCCTGCACTTAGGACGGAAGAACCCAATGCACAGCTACAGACTAGGGACCGAATGGCTAGGCAGCAGTTCTGCGGAAAAGGACCTAGGGGTGACAGTGGACGAGAAGCTGGATATGAGTCAGCAGTGTGCCCTTGTTGCCAAGAAGGCCAATGGCATTTTGGGATGTATAAGTAGAGGCATAGCGAGCAGATCGAGGGACGTGATCGTTCCCCTCTATTTGACATTGGTGAGGCCTCATCTGGAGTACTGTGTCCAGTTTTGGGCCCCACACTTCAAGAAGGATGTGGATAAATTGGAGAGAGTCCAGCGAAGGGCAACAAAAATGATTAGGGGACTGGAACACATGAGTTATGAGGAGAGGCTGAGGGAGCTGGGATTGTTTAGCCTGCAGAAGAGAAGAATGAGGGGGGATTTGATAGCTGCTTTCAACTACCTGAAAGGGGGTTCCAAAGAGGATGGCTCTAGACTGTTCTCAATGGTAGCAGATGACAGAACGAGGAGTAATGGTCTCAAGTTGCAGTGGGGGAGGTTTAGATTGGATATTAGGAAAAACTTTTTCACTAAGAGGGTGGTGAAACACTGGAATGCGTTACCTAGGGAGATGGTAGAATCTCCTTCCTTAGAGGTTTTTAAGGTCAGGCTTGACAAAGCCCTGGCTGGGATGATTTAACTGGGAATTGGTCCTGCTTTGAGCAGGGGGGTTGGACTAGATGACCTTCTGGGGTCCCTTCCAACCCTGATATTCTATGATTCTATGATTCTATGATCTGTTGCAGAAATAGGAAGGTGTGTAATGAATGAGGCAGGAGTTTCAGGACTCTGGGATCTGTTTTTCAAAAGTTCTGACCTTGCTCAGCTGCAGCTGTGGTATATAGGAGCTCTGCTCTGAACATATAAAGTGCTTTAAAATGCCAAGTACTCTGAAAAAGCAGACCTAGACTTCTCAAATTGGGCACAGAAAATTAGTTGACACATTTGAGAATTTTGGCTTTAATCTCCGTTCCTCAGTTACCCAGGTATAAAATAGGTATAATAATACTGCCTAACCTCAAAGGGGCATTGTGAAGATACATTCATTATTTTTTAAAAATGCTAAGATACTATGATGAGAACACCATAGAAAATCCCATGAGAAAAATTATAGTTCTGTGTTTCGTGCAGGGTTTGAGTGGTGGGCAGAAATTAGGCATAGAACCACACATTGAATGAGGATAAAAATAAATATTGAATCCTTTCGATAAACACCATCTATTCTGTGCACTGAATGTAGCAGGGTTCCTGTGGGATATGCAGGGTCATGTGATCATGTAATTAAAGATTATCTCAAGAGGGCTAAATTAAAGTGGCACAGGCAACCTTAATTGTGGCATTTCTTAACTTTTGATTGCCTGACTTTGCAACTGTATCATTCCTTTAAAGTAGATTTTTTGGATGTAATATATATTTATATTTCTCCTTAAGTTGCTTTCAGCATGATACATATTAACACATACTGTATAAATTGTCCTAAAATGTCTGAGAACTACAGTTCTTTTTCTTTATTTCTCTTTTAAAACATTTTTTTTGGCTCATTGGTATTCAGTACCACTTTAGTGTACATTTGTAATTCTAATCTCTCTGAAAAAAGAACAAGGAGTACTTGTGGCACCTTAGAGATGAACAAATTTATTTGAGCATAAGCTTTCGTGAGCTACAGTTCACTTCATCGGATGCATTCAGTGGAAAATGCAGTGGAGAGATTTATATACATAGAGAACATGAAACAATGGGTGTTACCATACACACTGTAACGAGAGTGATCACTTAAGGTGAGCTATTACCAGCAGGAGAGCGGGGGAAACTTTTTGTACTGATAGTCAAGGTGGGCCATTTCCAGCAGTTGACAAGAACGTCTGAGGAACGGTGGGGGGGAATAAACAAGGGGAAATAGTTTTACTTTGTGTAATGACCCATCCACTCCCAGTCTCTATTCAAGCCTAAGTTAATTGTATCCAGTTTGCAAATTAATTCCAATTCAGCAGTCTCTCATTGGAGTCTGTTTTTGAAGATTTTTTGTTGAAGAGTTACAACTTTTAGGTCTGTAATCGAGTGACCGAAGAGATTAAGTGTTCTCCAACTGGTTTTGAATGTTATAATTCTTGACGTCTGATTTGTGCACATTTATTCTTTTACGTAGAGACTGTCAGTTTGACCAATGTACATGGCAGAGGGGCATTGCTGGCACATGATGGCATATATCACACTGGTAGATGTACAGGTGAACGAGCCTCTGATAGTGTGGCTGATGTGATTAGGCCCTATGATGGTGTCCCCTGAATAGATATGTGGACACAGTTGGCAACGGGCTTTGTTGCAAGGATAGGTTCCTGGGTTAGTGGTTCTGTTGTGTGGTGCGTGGTTGTTGGTGAGTATTTGCTTCAGATTGGGGGGCTGTCTGTAAGCAAGGACTGGCCTGTCTCCCAAGATCTGTGAGAGTGATGGGTCGTCCTTCAGGATAGGTTGTAGATCCTTGAGGATGCGTTGGAGAGGTTTTATTTGGGGGATGAAGGTGATGGTTAGTGGTGTTCTGTTGTTTTCTTTGTTGAGCCTGTCCAGTAGTAGGTAACTTCTGGGTACTCTTCTGGCTCTGTCAATCTGTTTCTTCACTTCAGCAGGTGGGTATTGTAGTTGTAAGAATGCTTGATAGAGATCTTGTAGGAATTTGTCTCTGTCTGAGGGGTTGGAGCGAATGCGGTTGTATCATAGACAAGTCTATATATAGCAGCTACAAATTCTGCAGGTGTGAGTAGGAATCAGAGTTAAATAAATAAGTTTGCTGTAGGGCTGCAACCAATACATGGTTCAGAGTGATACTGGGGGAATCACTGAAGGGCTGCAATCATGCTGAGATTAAAAATAAAATACTGTATTGGATCTTAGACGTAAGGAATGTCTGCACTGCAGCATGGGTAGACGGACGCTCAGTAGCTCTGCTTGAGCTACTGCATGTAGCTGGGGTAGCCCAGAGGGCAGTTTGGATTGTCCCCCTGAGGATATAATCTCTGGGTATGTACTTGGATGGTTAGCCCAAGCTGATGCCCTGGTTACAGTGCTATTTTTAGCAAGCTAGTTTGAGCAAAGCTAGTGCATGTCTGTCTAACCATACTGGGAAGCATACTGCAGGATGGATGGATGGTAACAGTGTAAACTGAGGAAGCTGATGTTCCAGCTTCCAAATTTCTTATTTATTAGCAGCAAACATTGCTAAATTATATCTATTCCACAATTTTTTCTCTGTCTGTGGATAATACTGTAGGAAAGCAACATTATGTTTTATGAAAAAAAACCCATTCATTTGAAATACTTTGAAGACAATATTGGCTTAGTGGTAAAATCTTTTGGAATCTCAGAAACTCCAAGGTTCAACTGTATTTTGACCGGGGTTGACTGGATAGAGCAGAACATTTTCTGTGTACATTATTCAAATTTTTTAATGAATTTGATTTGGCTCTTTTTGCTCTCTGTATGTGTTTGCTTTTGCACTTGTCACATTAGTTCATTCCTCTTCAGCAAAGCACTGAAGCATGTACTTTATTTTATTACACACTAAAGGTTAAGATGAGCTTCAGTGCTTTCCTTCACAGGCATGGACCTAAGCATGTACTTAAGAGCCTTGCTGAACTGGGGCATTTGTGAATCTTCTGGAAAGCCAGTCTGCTGGCAGAAAGGTTCAGAGAGTGAATTTTAGCTGAAAATTGGGGAATATTTGTGAAAAATAAGTTTTAGATTCACTTTCTGTGAGCACTTGCATTACAGACTTGATTAAGTTGTATTCATCCAGTCAGCAAATGGAAAGAGACCATGTGATTTAGGTAACCAGTCAAATAGTTTGAATTTGAATGAATGAGCTTCAAGCCAAGAATTATTCAGAGCAATTATTTGAACAATTCTGAATAACAAATATGTTAGAGAAAGTTGTGATCTGCCCTTGAACAAGTCATGATTAAAGCAAAATGTGAAATTCATCTAATAAATAATTTTGTACAAATGATACATCTTGCTCTGATTTTGACTGTTGTTTTCCAGATTTGGTTTAAGGATCATGTATTTGTTTTCCTGAGACTTGATATAATCTGAACTGAAAGTATATCATTAATTTTAGGCCAAAATCTGAATCCATTTTATTGCAGGTGTTTCAGCCCAGCTCACCAGCACCCGGCTACGCAGAAACACTTCAGTGGGAACACCCTTTTGGATGGCACCTGAGGTGGGCAAAGCATTTTCTTTATTTTATCTGTGTTGCCTCTGTTCATTGCAATACACAATTTTGTCCCAATTCTACATTGACTCAAAAATCTGATACCGATAATAACCAGAAAAAGCATTTGGTGGTTCCCAGCTATGGGTCTGTTTCATTTCCTTCCACATCTCTTATGCAATGGGATGAATTGACAAATTAGATTCCTTTAATAACAGAGGCATTATCCTCTTCTATTAAAGAGGATTGTTTGCAGCTTTTCCATAAAACTATAGGCTAATCTACAGGAAACTTACGGTAATGCTTCCTTAAGGCATGAAATAACTCTAGCTTTACGCTCTGTGATTCTCCTCTGCAGAGTAACAGAGCAGGGCCAATGGCTATTGCTCCTGCCATGGCAAGGGGAGGCACTTATGGGAGTGTCCTATAGAATTTAATAGATAGCTTTTCCATGGATTTCTGTGAATCATTCAGTGGATTTTAGTACAGAATTATATTCCAACTATAGAACTCTATATGGTTCAAAAAGCCTATAGAAGGGATCTAATCCTCTATGAAATTCTGTGGGTTTTTAGCATAATATATATACATCTAATCCTATTATTTTATCTCTATTATATTCTATAGGTCTTATCCTTAAGTGGGGTGTTACAGTACAGCAGATTAAGTGAGCCCCTTTGCTCAGTTGGCTGTTATCTGCTTAGTTGAGGATCCAGATTCCCAGCCTGCACTGTCTTTTTGGGCTCATCCCTTGCCAGTCCCCCATCCCCAGGTGTTTCACCAACCTGGGGAGGAGGGTCACATGTGGACTCTGTGCTACAGTAGAAATCCAGAGTTCTGGAAGTAATCTGGTCCTTTCCACATGCTCTTGTGCAGGATGGGTGGCACATCAGTCAGTGTTTTCAAATACCTTTAGCAGTTTATTTGTGATTGTGACAGGGTGGACTAGGCCAGGAAAAGAGCAGTGGCGCTAAGTTCTCCGAGCGGCCTAGAGAGACTGTGCAGGAATCAGCCAATCAGGGGGAGGCCTCAAAGGGCTAGCCAATCAGAAAGGCTGCAGGGAACAGACAATCAAGGCCCAGGAGGGTCATATAAAAAGGAGCTGCAGAGCCAGACACAAGCAGTTCCTTCCTGGAGCCAGAGGAATGCAGACGATGCTCCTGGCTAGCCAAAGGGAACTACAGCACTGCAGACAGCTCAATGCTGGCAGGGACCGGGGAAGCGAGAAAGAGCTCCTGTCTGGCTGCTGGGCCTGAACACGGAAGAGCCCCGAGATAAGGATGAAGCATCAGTGAAGACTGGGGTGGTGGGGAAGTGGTCGAGGGAACTGAAAGCAGTTTCATTAAAAGCACACAGCGGTGAGTGGCTGCTATTCTTAGTGTTTCTGGGCTGGGACCCAGAATACTGGGTGGACCTGGGTCCCTTCTATAGGCCACTGGGGAAGCGGCCTATAATTGGACAGCGATAAACCCCTAGAAGGGGATCTGAACTTCTTAGTGGCCTAGCTAGTGATCTGGAGCCAGAACAGACCACAGAGGGTGAAACCATTGCCTTCAGGGAGAAAGCCCCAGGGATATAGCCTGATACCTGGGCCAGGCATGTTTAAAGACTGTAGAGACACCCGAGTAGAAGAGGCACTTGTGAGAGGTGGGAGCCACACCATTACAGTGATAAGATATACTTCTTCCATAACACGTGCTAAGATTACTGGGCTTAGCAAAATGGATATAATTTTTCTTCAGTTGATTAGTTGACTTGTTTTGTGGCTCTATTTTCTTAGTTCTGAAGGTGGTCAATATTATCATACTGTCCTGGAAGAACTGAGCACTGGGAACGTATTTAAAAGGAATGGGTTGGTAGTTAGTACACTACTCTTGTGTGCTATCAAAGTTATAAGTAGTAATGTTTATCCTTATCTATTACTGTATTGAACTAAACATCCCCATAGTAAACAGGAAGTTTAAATTAATGAGGATGCTAGTGTCCACTGAACTTGTTCTTACTTTTATATATATAAATTATATATTGTGCAGGAATGGGTGGAAAATGGTTTTCCCATCCTGGTAATATTTTGAAGATTTCAAAAAATTTTCCATTCTGTATGGGGATTAACCTGAGACCTTTAGACATTTTCTACAAAAAATAAGAGACAGAGAGAGAGTCACCAGCCCACCCCAGAATAGGTGATGATCTCATGATTAAAGTACTGACCTGGGATATGGGAAAACCAGATTTGAATCCTGCTGTGCCTGGTGTGGAGCTGCGACTTGAACCCAGGTCTCCCACTTACAGACTTGAAGGAAAGCAGATGGAGTCCTGCAAAACCTAGATTCAGCTCTGCCTTCTTTAGCCCTTAGCCCACAATCTGTACATGAAAGTGTTCAACTAAAGACAAATAGTCTAAAATCAAGGTTCAGATGGCACTCATATGACACACAATTTTACAGTAAAAACAGTGAAATAAATGTAGGTTCCATAATATCAACTGTGCATAAAGATAGCTAATATTCACCACATGGAAATCATTCTTTACGAAGAACATGTGCACCAGCCTTTTGAAAGAGCACCAGCCTTAGATGTAGCAAGTCTGTTACACTGCATGTTGCTGTCTTATGTTGATCAGAAGTCAGGGAATGATACATTCAGCTTTAGACCCCTAAAATTCCACCTGAGCTTCAGGGTTAATTCCATTGAGTTCTTGTTTAAAACAAACACACAAAACTCTGATTGCCTCCTGCAGATAAGGTGAACTGTTAAGATTCTAAGACTGTAGATGTTTCTTTCATTTTAATCTTTAATGTGCATGTGGTGGGGCGATGCCCCACCCCCATGCCAGATTGGGCTACAACAGGCCAGAGTGGCTGCGCAAGGTGGCAGCCAATCAGGGAGGGCCTTTAGAGAGCCAATCAGGGCCAGTATTACAGCCAGCCAATCAGGGCTAGGCTAGGCCCTATATAAAGGCTGCCCAGGAAGGGAGCAGGCAGTTTCTCCCAGGCCTTCAGAGGGTGAAGGTCTGTCTCCTGTGTGAGGAGACTAGCACCAGGGACAGCGCGGTGCTGAGCAGGCAGGGGGAGCAGAAGGGAAGTCCCGCCCAGTACCTGCCGGGCCGCAGGCCCTGAGAAAAAGGGCCTACCCGGTGCAAAGGGGCCAAAGGGGAAACGACCCGGGAGAGAGATGGACAAAGGGAGAGAAGGAGGGCAGGCAGGAAGGCTGCCGCCAAAGGGTCCCTGGGTCGGGACCCAGAGTAGAGAGTGGGCCTGGGTCCCCCCCTCCTCCTTGCACTTTCTCCTGGCCGTTAGGAGTGGCCATCACGGACTGCACCAGACCCCTGCCAAAGGGGTTAGACTTTGGGGTGTAGTTGGCCATTGTGGCTGGGGCGAAGAGAAGGACTGCTGATAACACCAAACCCCCAGAAGGGGATGAGACCGGAGCAGTGGGCACTGCCGGAGGGGCAGTGTCCTGAAGAGGACGCCGCGAGCTGGGAGCAACGCGGGTCGAGACGCCAATCTAGGGCGAGAGACGGATGGGACACCACCAGCAGAGGGCGCTCCGCATGAACTGAGCTAATTCCCAGAGTGAACAGCATATTACCAGCTCCGCCTTAGGTTTTACTCGGTCTTTTTCTGTGAAGACTTAGTTTGGCCATTGATTTTTCCCCGCTTGTGACCAGGCACCCAACATCTGCTTAATCATGTAACTCCTTCACCCACAAATGCTACCAGCTAGCCTGCCAGGGACATAGCAAACAGCATGAGGAGGCGTGCCAAGAGATAAAGAGCTCTAGCTCAGCTCCTTGCCAGCCTGCAGCACTGGCGCCAAACACTGGATAGATGAGGCAGGACCGTGAGAGGCTAAGCATAGAGGAGGGGGTCACAAGTCGCTGAGACTGCGGATAGTCTAGGTAGACTATTAGTGGAATTGGTTGGCTTAGTCCCGTGGGGTGCAAGGCCTCTATATGCTCATAAGTAGCAAAGCATGTTTAGATCCTTGGGCATAACATGGAATAGAAATGAAGAAAATTAAAGGGTCCCCATCAAGCTTCTTAGGCAAGAGAACTGACTCAGTGCACTTTTATAACAGCCTACCCACTGTATTTTTACTGTTCATTCCATTTCATGCAGCTTTTGGAGATTTTGTCTTACTTTTGGATTAAAAGTGAACTAACCCACCTGCATTTGCAGTGACTGCATGACAGAGAACAATAACCTTGACAGTATCCCTTTAACTGCAAATATTGCAGGAGTCTGTGTTTTATAAAATGGTACAAAAACACACAAAAAGAGAGAGAATGCGCAATATTAAATCTAAACAAAAATAGTGGCCTCCAACAAAAATGATGGAACATATCATCTGTTTGAACCACAGGCTATTTGGGATAGAGCTTACATTCTGCATCTGTTGTAAACAAGCAAAGGTCTGTATCATACGGCATGCAGTTTTGAATATAATGCAAACATTTGTTTCTTTTTTAAAATGTTACAGTCCCATCTGGTCTTCTTTCTTTTGCCATGGAAAACTGATTACAGTTGAGCAGAGAAATGAACCTGCTGTAATGGATCCAAAAATTGATCTCGTACAGACTCGCAAAGAATGGTTGATATTTTACCATCTCCATAACAACCAGCTGACGTCACAGAAGAGACATGAGACACCTTAGTAACCACTGTGCCATCATTATTTATGACATCACCTTGCTTAAAGACACTCTAAAAACAGTTTAGACCATTCATTCTGACATTGCCAAGGGCTATGAAGACAGAATATTCTTATGAAACCCAGATAATTAAGGATGCTGTTTACAGTAGTGTTTTTCTTCAGTAATTACTGTCAGGGTTAATGGTTGAAATCTTACTCAAATTTCCTGCTCTCCATCCCCCTTCTAATTATCTCGCAGGAAAATAATAAAAATAATTTGAATAAGAATCCAAAGAAATAAATGGACATTTTGATGTAAGTGGTCTGAAAATATGGTTACACGTAATGACTGTGTACGTACCACATCAGAACAG